GTCTGCTGCAGAGCGTTTGGGGGGCCCCCTGCACTCCTGTGGGACACTCAAAGCCACCATCTCAGTGTTCACAAGCCATGCCTAGTACCTCAAGGTATGTAGAAAAAACATTTAAAGTTGTGTCTATAGCCAGATCACTGATTCTCCAAATCAGCATTTAATCTTCAGATTCTCTGAATCAGCATTTAATCTTCATATTCAGATCCAGCCGAATTGAATCGGGACAGTGGTCCAAATCAATGAGTCAAATCACTGTCCCCTGATTTGGGCCAAATCTGAATTGAATACAGTCCATTTTGCACACCCCTATAAGTCATGTTCATTACATAGATGTTATGGTGACAGTCACATTATCTAACTGATAAGTTAGGACTAGGATCTATAAAGGAACCTAAAAAGTTAAATGACTATTTGAAAATGATTTATGCAGTAGGGCTATGCAAAAGAGTACCATTTCATTTTGACTTCTGTTTCGCTGTTTTGAAGGGACAGTGTTTTGTGTCACTGTTTTGAACCACTGTTCCGTTTTGTTTCATCAAAACTGTTTTGCTGTTTTGAGGTATTTTAACGTTTCACCCATAGGCTATAATGGGGAACCATGAAAATGCCTATAACTTTGTCATTTCTTTCCTGATTTGAATGAAAATAGCAGGGATAGCCCCTGCTGAGGCCAAAAATCCTGCCAAGTTTCTAGGAGATAGCTGTAAGAGTTTCTGGGAAACTGTACCCCAAGGTGCTGACAAGCAAAACTCATGTCACGTGTGTGTGTTAAAGTAGAGTGGGGTGAAAACAGCAGGCATGGTAGCACCTGCTGAGGCCATGAAGACTGCCAGGTTTCAAGGAGGTATAGGTACAGGGGTTTCTGAGAAACTGTACTTTGTCATGGAGTAGGGTCCCTAGAGATGGCCATGATACCCCTAGGGCCCTGTGACCGTGCCAGCTCTACCCTGTGAGCACCTTCTCTTCTTGCCTGCCACCATATCTTGTTGGAAAAGATAATAGATAGGGGGGCTGCCCTCGAGCTCAGTCACGGCCCTAGTGGACTAAAAAAAAGAAAGCCAGTCAGTGAAAATGGAAATGGAGATGTCAGGGGGTGAGATACAGGCTGGGGTAGGGGGGAAAGGGAATGTAGCAGGTAAAGGTGAAGGGGTACCTGGGGAGTCAGAAGTCCAGTGGGTTGTAGTGTGTCATAATTCCAATGTCTATATTGAGTCCATGAGTTTCTGTACCTAGGAGGTTGATAAAGTGTAGTTCACAGGCTTGACTGTGAAAGGTGGTCAAAGAAGCACTGAACCTCCCTAACCTCATCACCAGAAGCCAATTTCCTACACCCCAAAATACACTGACTGGATCCAGACCATGCCATGACAAGATGTGCAAAACCTGCCAACAATATCTCCAGTATGGAGATATCGTCATAATACATATTTGCATCATGGCACCAAATGCCGTGATGGAAAATACATAGGAGACACTAAGCAACAAGTGAGCACCAGAATGAGCTCACACTGTAAATCTATCAAAGACAAGAACATCCAACCACCTGTCTCCAATCTCTCAGGCCTGATCCTCAGAGGGAATTTACAAACCAATTTTCACAGATGAGCCCATGAACTTCACTTCATTAACCTCCTGGATACAGAAACTCATGGATTCAATGTAGACATTGGAATTTTGACACACTACAACCCACTGAACATCTGACTCCCCAGGTAACCTCTCCACTTTTACCTACTACATCCACTTTTACCTTCCCCTCCCCCCCAGCCTATCCCTCACCCACTGATGCCTCCATTTCCATTTTCACTGACTGGCTTTCTTGCCTGCATTGCATGCCAGCCTCTGGGTTCTTTACTATTCCTTCCATCCAGAAATAGCACAGACACCAACTGCAGGTGCTTCCTCAGCCTGACAAAGGGTTTTTCAACCTGAAATCTGGAATTCCCAGGCAGCTAAGCTGAGCTCACCTGGAGCCTCACAACTCCACTGCAACCAGCAAGCCTCACATCTGTCAAAGATATGATGGGTATGGGCTTTCCCCTGTCAGGACAGTGTGTGCATGTGATGGCTGGAGGTTATAAGGTGCCTCCTACCTGCCTTTCACCAGGGAGGTCCTGGGTCCTGGCATTTCTTGGGGGCTGCTGTAGCATCAGTGACTGCCAACCCTGGAAGGGTGCAGTTTTAATGGCCATGTCCAGGACCTGGGGCCTCCTCTGTCCCCTTAACCCCTGCCCATACCTCCAAGTTCATCCTGGCATGGGAGCTCAGTAGGGACATGTTCTTCCCCTGCTGGCTGGTGATACACTGAGTGCCCCCTCCTGCTCTGAGAGTGAGGCACTAAATGGTTGTGAAACCCAATGTTAAAAAGAAGGAAGTGTGGACAAAGTGATGAGGTTAGGAGGGTGGCACTCACTCCACCTGCGCATGGAGCTTAGGGAACCCCAGGATTGGGAGGTTCACCTTCAGGAGCACCAGCTGCTCCACCAAATCAGGATCCAAGGAGGTGCGGTGGGGTGTCACTACATCACCAACAATGCTGAACACCCTCTTGCTTGGGACACTGGTCAGTGGACAGGATAGGTGTTTCTGAGCAACCGTGGTTAGATCAGGCCACATCTGGCTGTGGCTTGCCCAATAGGCCAAGGGGGTGCACAGCAGTAGCTTCTTGTCCTCAGCAAGATACACAGCCACCAAAGCCTGAGTACTACCTGCCTGATGGTGGGGCTCGTGCCTCTGGACCCCATGAAAGCCATGCTCTTGGCCCATATTGGCAGCACCTGTGGTGGAAGAGGAGACTGGCTGGTGGATAGTGTGCTGGCACGGGACAGTGAATCCCCCTTTTCCATGTCCCACTGTCTGTGCCCTTCTGCCTCCCTGACTCACTTCACCAGCACCTCCATCCAGTGATCCAGGGTTTTGCTGCTGCATACACTCCCCTCCACCCTTGGGTCACACATGGTGGCCAGCACATGGACCATACTGGACTGCAAGGGATCAAGCCATTTCCTGATGCCTTCCTTCAGCCACCTGACCAGTGCCTGCATGTGTGGTAACAGTGGCTTGCCCTAGCCAGGAACATTGATCCCCTGGAAGTTCTCCATTTGGTTCTGAAGTTTTCTCACTACAGGGATCACCTGGCTAAGGAAGGCATTGCCAATGCTGAGGATCTTGGTGGCCTCAAGGAAGGGCTTGAGGACCAGCAAGATTTGGGAGATGGTATCCCACTCAGCTCTGTTAAGAGGGCCACTGATCCCAGTTTCTCTTACCAAGGCCATCCAGATGGCCTTCTGTTGCTCCACCAGCCTCTTGAGCATCAGGTATGTGGAGTTCCATTGAGTCTCCACATCCTGCATGATTTTATGCTGCGGGATGTTCAGCTCTGCCTGTTTGTCCTGCAGCATCTTGCCCCCCTTTATGCTTTGGTGGAAATAGCTTGCCACCTTCCTGCATTTGGAAATGAGCTTGCTGGTGGTGCTGGCACTATCACTGGCAGCCCTGTCCCTCTCCAAGGCATCCTTGACTATGAGGTGGAATTTGTGTGCCACACATTTGATGCCAACAAAGTTGGCATCATGGACTGCCTTGACTATATTGGCTCCATTGTCAGTGACCATCAACCCAAGGGTGAGCTTGCCCTTCCCAACCAGCCACCCCTGCACTAAGTGGTTCATGGCCCCCATGATCTTGGTTGCTGTGTGGAACTTATCCATCACCTCGGCTTGATGGAGAGGCCACTGACAGCCTGCCTGGTCGCACCGGTGCCCTGTGAGGGAGAGGTGTACATGGTCTCCACCCCAGCTGCTCCAGATGTCTGAGATGAAGTGCAAGGCTGGGGGAAGTGAAACAGGGGTGGAGGAGACTGTCATGCTGGTGCTGCTTGTTGTCATTGTGGTTGGGGGGTATGGCTGGTGCTATTGGAGGGGATGCAGACTCAGGCAGTGGCATTGCTCCCCTCTCCTTACTTCCAGTAGAACCAGAAGCCTCCTGCCTGCTAGTTGTAGGAAAGAGGCTGTGTCCCAGTTTGGGGGGGGGGGGGCGGAGTCTTACAGTTCTCCCTCTACCCCCTCTTCCGTCCCTCCCCAAAGGCTTGCCAGCTGCCTTTCCAGTACACTTCATAGTGTCTTTGGTGTGCTGGAAAATCTGTGTTCTTCTGTAATGTAATATGTATTTATGTAATATATGTAGATAATTGTATGTACATATTTATGTAATAAATAAAATATATACATGTATGTAGGTGTTCTTGTATAAAGTGCATATGATGATATGTAATATATGCTGTGTTTCCCTGAACAGTGAATGGAATGCATACTGTGAGAGAAAGCACAGATTTATTTTCTGGGGAAAAGAAGCAAAATAGACTAACAAACACAAAAAGAGGATTTTGGGGGAGGAATAAATTGAAAGGAATTAACATAATAATAAAGGGTATTAGGAACAGATGCAAGTAGGAAGTGATAGCCTTTCTGATGCGGAGCTGTTGGAAGACACAGCTCAATAAGCTAACCTCAAGGCAGAGAAAGCTCAGTTCAAACAATGCATTTTTTGCTGTTTTTCGGTCCCTCCCCCAGAGCACTGGGATTAGAAGGGACCTCAGGGAAGGATCACAGTCACTGGCCTGCTACATAGTCAATATCAGAGCAGTCCTTCCCCGCTCTTTCCCCTCCCTCTCCTTAGTTTCTGCTTAGCTGCAAGCATGCCCAGCTTTGAAATTCAAAATGTTTCGAAATTTTTTAAATGTTTGAGTACTCTCATTTAATTTCAAAACTGTTTTGAAGCCTTTTGTTTCATTTCAATTTAGATGTCTCAACCTTGAAACTCATCGAAGCAGCTTCGAAATGAAACACCCATCGAAATTTAGCGTAGCCCTATTACACAGGTCCCCTAAACTCATTTAAAAATCTCAGTCTAGATAGATAAATATTTCTGGGAAATGCAAGTAAGGAATTTGACAAATGTATGTCGAGGGAAAACCAGCAAAGTTGTGTTTTCATCTACAGGTGCTGTAGAAGGAGATCCATTCTGGGATGCTGTTCGTGATCAGCTGCTTGGAGTACCATCCAATGAAACGAAAGATTGCCACAAACCTAAGCCAATCCTTTTTAATACAGGAGAGGTAGGATGTATTTAATATAGCATTGCTACAGATTTATTCTGGACTTCTCTAGACCTAGATGAATGATTTTCATTTTCATTTCAACTGTAATAAAACCAGTGATGTAAAAAAGAAGTAGACAAGGAATGGTGTTATGATATGACATTTTAAAGAGACTTTTCTTTTAAAAAATATGAAAATAGGAAGTAAACCTAAACAAATTTTCAATACTCTGAAAGAGAGTAAAAGATGCAAGGAAGTTTACTGATGATAAAAGTGTGTTTTATCCCTACGTATTTGTCATGGAACTTAACTTGGAGAAAAGATGGGCATAATTCACAATGAAGGAAATATATCTATGTGCTGTATGCACTCCAGAAAATGTTCAAGATCAGGTTGTCCTTATGTAAGAATGAATATGGTGATGCATGAAAGATCAGTTAGAACTTTGGTTGCTGGCCAAAATATATAATATAATAGTACAAGAGTTTTCTAATTGCTCAAAGTAATTCTGGGAAATTTTGGACTAAAAGGATAATGTCATTGGAATATCAAATCTTTTGTCTTGGTTAACATGTCAAGGTTCTGAATATTTCACTATATAGAGTTAAATATGGCTCCATTTAGAAATCTATGGAGAACAGGAAAACAAGAAAGTTGGACTCACCCTGGTAAAATGACTGGAAAATTCAGTCTAAAAAGAGGCAGTGTTGCTAAGGAAAGAACCTTTAGTGCTGCAACAGGAGTAGACATCAGATTAAATATGAAGTAGCATTTCAAAAGTGCCTGAGCGACACAGGGCTAGTCTATACCATTATCTTATAAAGGAGGGTAGGTTAAAATCATGGACATGTGATATGGAGAATAAAATGAGGGACCTGAGTCTGAAGACATGTTCCAAACGTGGATGTTTGTCAGTCCAGTTTTGTTCCCATTGCCTGCTCTTGAGCCCTTCACTAGCGCTGGTGATGAGTCTGAGCTTCCAAGTCTGAAGCATGGCTGCGGACTCAAGTCTTCCTTGTCCTCACCAGGACCCACTGTTGCAGCGGTATGCATAAGCCCCAGAGACTTGTGCCCTATTACGAAGTGGGGCAGTCTGTTCAACCTTTCGCCTTGTGGGCCAGAGCAGTGGCCTAGAGCCAGTTTGTGGGCTGGATTGGGCCCTGTGTGCCAGGATTGGACCCTGTTCTATATCTGCTCAAACCCTCATTCCTGGATCAGACCTCATGTGGTCTCAGCTGGCCTCCAGACACCTGGGTCGTGTGTACATGAAACAGGCATGTGTGCGCAACACTTTAAAGATGGCTAAATGCTTTTGCACCGTTTAATGGTGACAGTGTTTGCACACATCGGCGATGTATCGCGTATTAATTCCAGCCGCTGTAGGAAATTCGGTGGCGTAATGTGCCTTAAATGACTTGGGGCACAGCAAACTAAAACTCCTTTGAGGAGTTTTAGTTTGCTGCCCCCCTCACCAAGGTTTGTTGATTTTCCTGCCCCTCCAGCCGTGTAGCAAAGCACTGGGCTCCATGCAGCTCTGCAGCTCTGTAGGAAGCCCTGCAGACAGCCTGGTAGCAGCCCGGGAAGGCAGGCTTCATCCAAGAAAAGCAGCGAGCCTGATCATTTTTTTTCCCCACTCCTCAGAGCCTGCCTGCCTGCCTGCCTGAGCTGTGTGGGGGCCTGATGCTTCTCTCCATGGCCGCAGTGCCCCCCGGGACCACCCGAGCCAGGTGCCTGTGGGCAGGTGCTGCCTGGGGGTGGGGGGGGCTGCTGCTACCGTGGAGGGAAGCACAAGCCCCCCATTGCAGCCCAGGGACCACTCCACCTGCTGGCAGCTTGCCCTCCCCTCCCTGCTGGAGAGGCAGGTATGTCAATAGGGTGTGTGCACAACATGGGGGTTTAATCAGCCCTAAATTGAAGTGGTGCTTTTTAAAACCCACCACTTCAATTTAGGGCCCCCATTTCATCTACACACTCCCCTGGATGCCATGCCAATACCAGCCCTGTCTAGCCCCATGTGCTGGGACTGGGCCCTGTACACTGGGATTGCGCCCTGGTTTCCTGTGCTATTCCCATCTGGGCCTGTGCCTTATTCCACCCCTGACCAGCCCCTATGCCAGGATCAGGCCTTGCACCACCCTGCACGTCCAATTTAGTGTGAAGGGTCTTGCTATCCAGCCTCTGGGGCTCCCATGGGTCCAGGAATTGGGTAGCAGGGGTGTGACTGCTGCTCCCCTTCTGCCAAATTTTCAGACCCAGAGGGAGCCCCATGGGCCAAATGCCTCAACTGCATGGGTTTGATCTAACCCACCGACTAGGTTCAAGCTCCCTTGATTTAGACGTGTGTAAGCAAAACTCTCTTATTAAACATCAGTGAGAGTTAGACTCGAGTGCTTTTGAAAATTTTGCTCATTAGCAAGATTTGAAATTTTTTCTTTCTTTTTTATTCTTTTTAAAGTGATGTGATTTTGATCTTCAATTTCCTAAACATTTGGTCTTTTATAAGATTCTGAAAACTTGTTCCTTTACAAGATTGGTTATCTTATACCAAAGCCATTTCATTCTGTTCTGGGCAGCTCACCATTAAAAACATTTTATTAATATCATGAATTTATGCTAAAAGAAACTAAAATAATTTATTTCATGGAATTTTGGCCTGTGGGGAAAAAGTAAAAATGTTTAGTATATTGAAGTGTGATATGTCAGCTTCCCAAACACATCAAACAGGGAGAGGAATTTAAGTGTGTCAGGTAAGTTAATTTGGAATAATTTGGTGCAGTTACACAGAAAAAAAATATTAAAAAAAAATAATTCCTGGCCATGTTGATGTCCCAAGAGAAGAAAATGAAAACCTATTGCTTTAGTCATTGTAGATTGAACAGAAAAATCATTTAAGAATTCAGTACAAGGAACAGAGTTCACATGTAGACAGAGCAGATAACACAATAGGTTTCTTCCACTCTTAATTTGTAAGAATTATAGGAAAATAGAGCTGGACGGGACCTCACAAGGCCATCCAGTCTAGCCGTCTGCTCAAGGCAGGACTGCCTAAACCGTCTCAGCCAAACCTCTGTCCAATTGATTGTGTGGAATCTCCAAGCCTGGAAACTTTCAACTTCTCTAGGTAGCCTGTTCCAATACTTAACTATCCTCATAATCAGAAAGTTCCTCCTAATTTCCAACCTAAATTTCTTTTGCTGCAGCTTGAATACATTGCTCTAGTCCTATCCCCTAAGACCACGTAGAAGAATCCATCTCTATCCTCTCTGTAATTGTCCTTCAAGTATTTGGAGACTGTGGACAAATCTCCCCTCAGTTTTGTCTTCTCAGATGTAATAAGTCTAGCTCTTTCAGTCTTTTCTAGTAAATCATGCTTCCAAGGATGGTTGCATAAAGTAATGTACATGTGATATAAAGGAATAAGTATGGCAAAACATGAATAACAGCTACTATACATTTCTTTAAACTAAAATGTATTTGTATCAATATCTTTATTAATATAGAAAATGCCAAAACAGGAGAGTAGTCGAGGTTGTATATTTCATTGACTTAAAAAATATATTCCTACATTCCATTTTTTAGATGTTGCTCCCTTATCCCTGGCACCCTGAAATTGTTGATATTCAGATCATTACCATTGGGTCCGTGGCAATTCTTGCTGTTCCAGGAGAGTTTACGTATGTACTTTTTATACTCTTATTCAGAATAACAGAGCAGACTGCTTTTACATCCAACTTGTACATGTACAACTTTGTCTAGAGAAGAGAGATCAGACTGCAAATTGCCACCAAACCGATACATGGTGCTATATGCTAAAACTCCTGTTTCGGTTTAATTAGCTACTTGCTTACTTTGTTACATAGCTGCATGACTGCCATATACTTGGCAATTATGCACAGTTTGTAATTCAGCATGCAAGACTCCACATGCCCTCTGAGCCTGCTCTGGCCTGCATACAACATGTAAGTCTTGAAACTGCAGCGGGGCAAAACTCCATGACTAGTGGGCATTGGATGCTAAAGGGAACAGAGGGCCTTCCCATGCTTTAGTTCTGTAACCTAATGGTTAGCATACTCACCAAGGGCAAGCAAGAAAGTGGATGTGTGGAGCTAGGAGAAGATGAACAACTTGGAGGGTGTGTGGCTCACTGCAGTGAAGGCTGTTCTGGAAAGGAGCAACCTAAGTTCTAGTGTGAGCTGTTGCTCCCAGTGGGTTAGGATCTGCCCCACTGCTCTCTGGTCATTTTATCCAATGAATATTAAATGCAAGGGGCAGTGGGTCAGCTTGAAGAGGAGTGTTGGAGAGATGTCTGGATAATGCTTAACTTGTAGTCTACGGGTTAGAGCACTTGGCTGGGAAGCAGGGAGATGCAGGTTCAAACCAGCTCCTGGTGATGGAGACCTAGAACTCAGGTCTCCTGCTCTCTGGGCACTTGTCCTGACCGACTCAGGCATTGGGATAGATCCCTTGAGGGCCGTCCACCACCACTATCACTGTTGCAGTAAGTATGTTGGCAGTGTGAAATGGAATTTAAGTGCCAAAAACTGTGGTTACATGGCTGTGTAACTGTTAATGAGGTATGTAAAGTGCTATAAAATGCTTCCTTACATGTCAGTGCTCTTTCTAGCTGCCTATTGGTAAGATGAGGATTCCAATTTTATCTTTCCTTTTTGTAGAAAAGCAATTATCTATCTATAGCTTAGGTTAAAAGTAGCTTCCTAGAACCTGTAAACTTTTTTTTAAAGTGAACTATGTTCCATGAAAAAATGTACTTTCATTGAAATCATCGTAAGAGGGAACAGGTTAATTTTGGGAAGATTGTTGAAGGGAGAGAATCAGGCTGAATCATTTGGACATTCCTGTTTTGATGGTGTTTCAATAAGATCAAACATTTTGTTTTGACTTTTACATTATAATACAATACAGTGAGATGTTGGATTGGGGGGGGGGGGCAGGAAAGTTAGAGACCCATGGGAAATGTGAAAAATCAGGACTACAGGAGAAAATGTGAGGGGGTTAACACAGGGTAGGGATAGGGAGTGAGAGGGATGCATATCTGAACTATCAGTAGGTATTTTGATTCAATGGAGTAATTAAAGGGACTCTAGACCTCATTCAGGCCCTATAAAGCATTGCAACTGGCTGGTAATATATTACAAAATAACTTTTCTTTTATGTGCTGTTAGTGATTTATAAATGCCAAACAGTTGCAGAGTTAAGGCTTCTTTGTTCAGTATTCAGATAATTCAGGGGAAATTCAGCTGAATCTTTCAGGCTGAAAGAACCTTGGGCGCACCACACTGCATGCTCTTCTGAGGCTTGTCTATCACTGATTACAACCTGCTCTACATTTCAGTCCATTGCACTTTCTCCGCCTTATATTATTTTACATGTTTGACATTATTTTCATCTTCACAGAACGATGTCTGGGCGTAGACTGAGAGAAGCTGTTAAAAGTGTAAGTTACTGACTAAAAACTGAAAGAAACGGGCTTCCAAGAGTTTATGCATTTTTCTTCAGCCTGACATCTGTCTCCAATTTGCATTGTTCTTTTTCCCCTCATATTCTGAAGATATTAGTTTTTCAACCAGAGGTTTTAAAACAACACATATACACAAATGGAAACACTAGATTGTACTATGTAAATTAATGTCCTGGCCTAAGGAGATTTGTCATTTTCTGCCCTGAGGACAGGATTCAATATCTGCAGCATAGTGACACATGAAAAAAATCAGAAACTATAACTCAACTATAACAACAGTGATGTAAATCTACCATTTACATCACTGACATTTTTGTTTAGTGACCAAAAACATATTAATAACCCTTTCTTAATCCTAACTATCACCATATATGCATATTAAGATAATCATTAAGATTGTCTCAGAGTTTGTCATTTATTTCCATGGCTCTTTTAAAAAGATTTAGGTATTTGACTTTCGAATACATGATTTTTATAATAGTATGTTTTATCTTTATTAAAGGAATTCTATATTTATAATAATTTTCTTTTGTTTTAAAGGAATTTGAATCCCAAGGGACACATGGAATGAATGTTATAATTGCAGGCTTGTGTAATATTTATACCCATTATATTGCAACCTATGAAGAATATCAGGTATATAAATTGCTATAAGAAAAAAAGGCATTCAAAATATGTTTTACTGTGTACTCTTCTGGGTGTTCTGATCATTCATGTAAGATTATGTGCATGCAGAACGATTATTCTTTTTCACAAAAAATAGCAGCAGCAACAAGATCTATACCAGAAATGAAGTGATCTTCTCTCCTATTTTGTAGGTTCAACGATACGAGGCAGCATCCACCATTTATGGGCCACACACACTATCTGCTTATATTCAGCTGTTCAGAAGGCTGGCAAGGGCTATAGCTAAGGTAATCAAAGTTTTCTGTATACTGCCTGCTGCTATGACGTTTTGAAATCAATATGTGCTCATATCTACAGGTTTCCCTCACTTTATGTGGGTTCTGTACTTGCAAATTAGCTCTTATGCGATGACCCTTTTTATACCAAAAATTCATTATATGCAAGGTAAATTCGCTCTTATGCAATCGGTGTAGTGGAAGCCTGAAGTCAGGTGTTTTGTGTGGTGCATTGTGGGAGTGACATGCATCAAAACATAGTCTCCTGTGTGGATCTGTGCTCCTCACTTGTTGTCTGCGACACGTGTTTCTGTAGTTGCCATCCCCATTATGGTAACATTCACTACCACCTTGTGCTCATATGTACTGTCTGCTGATAGTGAGTACCGAAACTGTCTTGTAAAAGTGGTAGAAATGGGTCTGGGGGTCAGTACAGTCGAGGTCTTGGAATGTATTCCTATTTGTTACATTGTAATGTGAGTTCCCATTGTGCAAATTCAAATGATGCGCCGTTTTCCAGGAACACATGTACAGTATAAAGTGAGGGAAACCTGTATATATTGCCTTGCAAATAGGCTTTACATGATATTTACCTTCCTATACTTTAAATAAGATGGCCCTGATTCTCTCTTCTTATCTACCATATCTTGGTAGGTAAGATCCAAGATACCCAAAACCAAGATAACTTCATATTTAAGACAACGTCCCCAATCATTAGATCCTATATATGGAAATTTATGAATTTGTTTTAATTTTCCAGGTATAGAATCTAATTGTTGAAGGAGCATGTTAAATTCTTCCCCTACACTGCTATACTAGGGAAAGCGGTGACAGGGGGTTATGTCTCTGGGAGGCGCAAGTGGCCAATTTGCCCTTTGCCTCCCCCCACTTTTCACTGCAGCCTGTCCTCCCCGCTACATTGCCTTTCCCACTGCTACTTTCCCCCTGCAGACTCTGCCCCCTACTTGTTCCTCACAGCCTCTGCTTCTTTCCCCACTCCTCCCTGTCCACTGACTCTGCCCCACTTCCCCCCACTACCATGGTCAGATGAGCTTTAGCTCCATTCCATCCTGAGGCATGGAGCACACAGGAATGTGGTCTCTGCCTGGCCACGCAGCAGCTTCCTTGGGCCAGAATTGCACCACTGACTGGCTGGGCAGGGGATGGAGCTTCCATGTGCTTTGTGCCCGGGGTAGGAACGGAGCTAGAGCTGGAGCTGTGCCTGACAGTAAGTGGGGGTGAGGGGGCAGAAACTGTAGGGGAAGATGGGGGTGGGCAGAGGCTTCAGAGAGTAGGCATAGAGTGGGCAGACAGCTGCTGTGGCTCTGACACTGGTTCCAGGCAGGCTCAGAGCTGGAGTTAGAGCCACAGCAGCCACCTGCCCCCTGTCTGCCTTGCACTCAAATCCAAGATGAGGGGCTTTATTCCCCATACTGGATGAGGAAAGAAATCTCATCTTGGATTTGAGTAAGTATAGTAGCTGCTTTACACTGCTCTAACTGCAAAACTAGCAGAAATCTGGTTAGCAACCAGTACCCTGGGAATTCCCATTTAATGAAAAGAATTTCCAGGTGGTAGAAAGCTGGCATTATACTTGTCACCCTGTTAAAGGAGTCACAGTGGTGTGGGTCTGTCCTTTGATAGTTCTGGGCTGTTAAAATTATTGGCTGAATGCTGTTCAGGGTTGGATGTGGATTAGATCAGTTTTCAGGTTGTTAGAACTTTTTCCTTCATGGGATACGAAACTAGTAAAGCTTGTATATATCTAAACTTAAAATTATTCTCAAAATTTTTTACCAAAATGTGTGAGAGAAGGGACACTTTTCCCAGTAAGCCCAGATCCTTAGGGTCTGTACAGTTCCTGGAATCATGAAATGTTAATGTTTTAAAATAGAAATATCTTGAGGATCAAGACCTCAACCCTGAGAAGTTTTAGGATGTGCAAAAATCTAAAAAATGCTTCATTCTCTGTCACATATTTTGAATCAGGATCCTGTGGTGTGTAAATTCAAACATGAAAGAGTTGCATGCTTGTACATAAGTATCATACTGTTAAGGTCATAAACATTCTAGGATTTAAGATGTTAAGAGATGTGACAGTGGTTATAGCTGATGTTATAGGTAGACTATATCCCAGAATGAAGTAGTACTGAATGTAGCATAACAACAAGGACCCTTCACTGTACGTTTTGGTGAACGTATTACAAGTTGACATTCAAACCAATTATTGTTATATTTTATTAAATGGCATGTTTGGCTTCTTGAATTTTTGGAAAATAGGACAGCATCAGCATACAATTGGTCATGTTTGTACTGTAGTGGTACTGTCAAAGTAAATTTCTCCATGTTACACGCACATTCTTTTTTCAGCATGAAGTTCAGGATTTACCCAAAGGTCCAGAGCCACCATTTTTTAATGTAACCAACTTGACATTGTTACCCACTGTTTTACCTGATGTAGCACCACTGAATAAAACATTTGGAGATGTATTACAGGAAGTAAAACAACATTACCGAGTGGTAAGAATATCTGTGTAATGTGATTTATTAACTAGCCTTTTGATGCACTTGTCAATTTTTAATCATATTGCTAACTAGTGTGAGATTTCCAAATAGGCATTGTGCTTGGTTTTACACCATTTCAGTGTAAATCCAAGACACCATTGATTTTAATGGACTTAGGTTACAAGAGTAACATCTGATCTATGGTATCAAGACTAAGTAGTTATGAAGTTTGATTATAACAGCAACCTAACTTTCCTATATATGTGTTGGGGAAAAAATCTGAAATTAAATTTATTTTTAGTTTTATTGAGCTCTTGTTTAAACAAATGAGAGCTGAGAAATGTTCAGGCACCGATATAGCTCTCATATGTTTGAAAAAACTGGTTTTAAATCCAAAGAAATTTTCTTCCTTACTTTTTATTGCAGTAAAGCAAAAATTCCCTTTGAAAAAGCAAATGAATGAACTACTGTGAAAAGTACATGCTTTTCAGAGATGGATAACTGTATAAGTGGTTTTCTATAAACATAATTTGTCCTTTGGTTAGAAAAAGAACAAGATAAAGACAGCCTATCCTTCATTAAAATATTTTAAATGGAATTTGGTTAGAATTGATGAATAAAAAGTAAAGAACACTTGACATCTCTCTTTGAAGAAGAATCCCCTTGGTATTTCTATATTTAAAAAGGTTAAATGGTAAATGTTGTGTTACAGTTTCTTTACAAGTAAACCCTAAGTTGCTACCGAATAGGAATAAGATACTTATCTTCAGCAGTTAACAGCATCATGCTGTAAGGCCATGTCTATTCTGCTTCTGTGGCAAACGCAGCGGAACAACTGTGAAGCATACCTACCCACACACCTCCCATTCAGCACATGCCAAATCTTAGAAATGAGCAATGAGCCGTCTTCAAAGGACCCTGAGCATATACCAGTAGAAACACGAGGCAGACTACGTGCACTCACGGTCATGCAAAGGAGGCTAGAATAGATTGTCTCATTTCAAGGCTTTAGCATACATGAAATAGAATTGAGTGTCCATGGTGGGCTTCTCTGAGCTCCTGGGCATGCATAGGCAGAGTAAACATGCTCTTAATGTGACAGTGAGAATTCAGGGGTCAGGCTGCAGTCAGGAGAGTGAGATGTTATGGCTCTATAGAGAGGGAAAGTTCCCTCTACAGAGAGGGAAAGCGGGTGTATCTACATGTGCAGTTTACTGGAGAGTAGACTAATTAGCTCTTTAGTAAAGTGTCTCAGTCTACACATGCACTGGCATTAGGGTGCAATAAACTAATTAAATCCACCATAAAATAGTACTGTCAGGGACAGCACTATCTTATGCCAGAGTTATTAAGTGTGACCAAACACATGTGTAGATGATGAGCACCAGGCGCAAATTGTGCCCAGTCAGCTCAGCCAGCCTAGGACCAAACCCCTGGCTCCTGCCAGCCCCTCTGCCACCTGACACTACCATCTGAAGCCTAGGGCTGATCCTACATGCTTCCTGCCAGCCTGGGCCTGCTCCACCTCAGCTCAAATTGCTGCTGTCCTGGGTGCACATGTAGATGCTGAGCCTGGAAGCAGTGTACTCTGGCTCAAATGGCTCTAGAGTTCATTGTGTTGCATTAATTGCATGTGACATGCACACAGTATAAGCTTCAATCCCATAGCAACAAGAAGGATGATGCGGTAATATCAGTGAGGATGTCTTAAAAATATTGTTGATATGTAACATTGAACCAGTTACAAAAATATTCTGATATTTTCTCAGGGAGAAGTTGTTGAAGTAACTTTTGTAAGTGCAAATCCCAGAAATTGGGCAGATGATATGGTAAGTAATATTAAGTGGTGTCAGATTTTTGTTTATCTTTTCTTCTTCAGAGTAGTTAGTGCTTAGTAATTGCTGTTGCTTTTGTGCATCAATCTTCTTGGGTGAAGTTTTTAAAAAGAGAATAAAACAAAAGAACATAGAGGTAGGAAGGGTGGGAGGAAGCAAATTTCCCCTCAATCTTCCCTTATCTGGACTAAATAATCCTGGCTGCAGCCTTTCATGTCATGTTGCCCAGGGCTTTCAGAATTCTTGTTGCTTTTCTCTGGACTCTTTCTAATTTGGAGGCAGAGCCCAAAACTGGATGCAGTACTTCAGGTGAGGCCTCACTGGTGCTGAATAGAGTGGAATATTCACTCCCTTTGATTTGCAAGTGATGCTTTTATGCAAGTGACACACAGTATGTCATTATTTCTTTTTTGCAACAAGAGCACGCTGTTGTCCCTTATTCAGCTCATGGTTCTCTTCCAGGTTCTCTTCCTGCAGTACTAAAGCCTAGCAAGTCCTTCCCCAGTCTGAATTTCTGCTTTTCTCAATCTGAAAAAGTCTCATTTAATTTTTAGTGTATTTATTCTTATTATCCTCTGTTTCATATTTTTCAAGATCACTCCTCGACCTATTTGTTTCCAATTCAGGACACAGTGCCAGAGGGTGTAAGGCACCTTATTATGGCTCAAGACCCTGGAACTTTAGCTAAAGGGTGTCAGTATGATAATCTTCAAATACTAAATTGATGACATAAGCAAGGAGTGACCACCTTGAGGCATGCATGCCACAAGTGGCACCAGCAGCCTGCGAGTGTGGCACGTGGCAGACTGGGGAGGGAGCAAGGAGCAGGCAGTACAGAAGCAGATAGGGCAGGGAGAGGAAAACAGATCAGCAGATTGGGCAGGGGAAGTGGATTGGAATGGCACTCAGTGGAATATGGGACTTAATTTGTGACACGTCTAGCAAAAAGTTTGGCCCCCTCTGATATAAACAATCCAGACATTTTTCTTAATACTCTGGTACAACTGAATGAAAGTCAGAGCTTTCATTCTGAAATTCAAAGTAATTTCAATCTGTATAGTTTTTTACTACAAAGGCAAACATTATTAAAAATGGAGAATTATCCTATCAGCAGTCTTTGATGGAAATTGATGATGATTGACTTAATTTTTTTGCAGTTTTTCACAAGTAGTTTGCTTTATATATCCTGCATTATATGTTAAGCTTAGTGTTGTGCTTTATCAGTTAAAAATGAATAAGTATCACCTGTTTATCAGTTTAAACTTAGGCTCTGGAAGGCTCATTCTTCTGGCCATTCTGTATATGACTGGTGCTATTCATTTTATTCCAGACTGATCACACCTTCCTTACAGTAGAGAAATATGAGAATGTTTCTAGAAGCTGGCGTGTAGTACATAATGATGCCTCCTGGGAAACCAGGTGAGTAACTCCCACAGGACTATTTCACAAATTCCCCTGAGTATTTTCAATTCAATGATCTCATTAATTAAAACCCAAGGGACCAGGTTCAAGCACTATTTGGATTTTCCTCAAACTGGTCTATGCTAACACTGCAAAAACAATATTTTTATGCATAACTTTGCATTAGGCCTGATTTTTGGTACAGCCTCAGTGTGTAGATTGTTCCTACCTACATTGGGCTTTCTCTAGGGACACCTGATTATGTCTTTAAAATACCCAGACTCTAGCCCCAAGTTCCTGTCCTTGAACATCAGCAGCCTTTACTTTAGGCTTGAAGGAAGCAGAATCAGATAAAAATGTTCTGGCTTCATATCTGAATTTACCTCAAGCACAGAATCAGGAAGATATATGATATTGGTTCAAGTTAAAAGTCTAGAGCCTTAATTCTCAGCACTGTACCTGGGATAGAAGGGGTGGGAGCAGCGCTTTTGTACCTCCCACATTCTGGGGCTCTCTCTCCCCCCACACTTGTCTTTTGTAGTGTAATTTCTAGTTTGTTTTAAGGAAAATTCTTGTGTGTGCTAGGCTGAGTGAACCCATTTTTATTAACTGTATACTAGCTAATTGCCCATCAAGAATGACAGATTTCAGGGAGTGTTTACATGCCCCCTGCTCTTCTCCCCCCTCCATCCTTCAGGTCCGGCCATGTAAAGGCTCCTTCTGCTGCCACCTCCTCCAGTCTCTGGTGCAAGGGCTCCCACCCTCTGCCCACCTCTGCCTCACAGCAGGGCTTCCCCCACACCTCCCCTACCATCCCCGCTCCCCTCCGTCCCTCCCTGCCAGCTGTAGTTGTAGCCGGGCAGTGGGGAGGCACTGCCACTATGACCCCCCACTTCCCCTCCCCACTTCCCTCTTTTCCTTCCTTCTCTGCTGCCTGGCCCCAACAACAGCTGCCACCATGACCCTCCCTTTGCCTCCCTCCCTCCCCATCACCTCCCGTCCCCTGCTGGCTGTTGTCAGGGCCCCTTTTCTGCTCCCCTCCCTCCCGCCCTGCTGCCTGGCCATGACAACAACCACCACTGTGTCCCCCCCTCCCTGCCAGCTGTTCTGAGGGGCATCGGGGATGGGGGGCACTGCCACTGTGATTCCCCCCCCCCAGGCAAGGAGGCATGGGGAAGTCCCACTGCTTGGGTGGCTGGGGCATGTTTGCCGCCACCTCAAACTTCCCCAGCAGTGGCTCAAACTTGGGCCCACACAGCCTGGGCCCATGCAGGCAATTGCCACCCTCCCTCTCAGTGGTCCATGCACAGTTGGTCAAAAGCATTATGGACAGACAGACACACAGACTAAGCCCTTTATTATATTATAATTTTTTATTACATTTTTAGCAGTGTGTATTAACATATGGCAATCCTGTGGAGAGAGTAATTATTAAAAGAAACTTACCTGATATAGCACAGAGGGGTTAGTGTCAGATCCAGGAGAAGAATCCACAGATCCTGATCTACAATCCTGTTCCCCACCCTTTGAGCAATACAACCTAATAGTATGACAATAAGAATGGCACAAAATGTTTCCACCAATACTTTTTTTTTTTTTAGGGGAAGCTTTTAAATGGCTTTGCTTTTTTATTTGAATGGCTTTGCTCTTTGATTTTAAGATTAGAAATGAAGGAGAGGGAGAGGGGAAGGAACTGGAAAAGCAACGTGTGGTAAAACTACCAATGTTAACAAAAAGAAATACAACAGTAAACAAAGATAATGTGTCTTTCAGAATTGTAATTCACAGAGTTAAAGTCAGGTTACATACAAAGAATATAAAGGGATGTTTTCTCCAATGACTGTGTAAAGCAGTTATTGTTTCATTTGAATAAAAACGGATAACTATCACCATTTCCTGCACATCAGTAAAAAAAATAGACTTGAAAATGTCCATCTGAGGATCACTAAGACTTTGGAGATATTCCAGTAAGAACACATTACATTACGAAATGAAAGTCACAATGTTCCCAATACAGCGCTTGCATCAGTTGCGTTTACTTTTTTGAATTTACAATGATTCTTTTTTGGTAGTGCATAATTCTCTCTGCCCAAGTGCAACCAATTGCTTTCTGAATCTATTCTGGTAACCAAGGGACATCAACATACTTCTCTAATATCTTCTAAGATAGTTTCTGGCACAATTTAACCAAACTAACATTGGAATCTTAGAAGGTAGACAGCATCATATCAGAGATTGTGAAATACAAAGTGATGTGTTTCTCTTTTGCTGTTCAGGCTTTTCCAGTGTTTCTAAGTATTGGGGGGGAGGCGTTGGTAGTTACTATTTTACATAGTTATAGTGTGTCAGGATTCTCCTTTCTCTGAAGTTTTCTTCTAGTATAATCTATTCTCATAAAGGTAATAGGTTTTATTTATTTATTTCAAAGAAGCCAGATTCTGTACAACCGTTGTTATCCCCATGTATATTTAAGGGAAGCATTTACCCAGATGGATCTCAAAATACATCAAAATAATAGCCACATTTAATTAAATTTGTTGACATTGTGCACACATCTCTGACACCCACACACAGTTTAGTGGATAAAAGCCCTTTTGAGATTTGTGAGGTGATGAGTGCAGGTGGTATTGGAGGGCTTGGTTATATATTACAACTTTCTGGGTGTGTTCTCCAATCTCTCAGTCTTAATTCTCAAAGGGAATTTACAAAACACCTTTCATAGATAAGCCCATAAACTTCACTTCATAAATCTTCATTAATTGAGTTTGCTCCGAAGCATGCTAATTAGCATGTGTCGAAACAGATGTCCATCATGTATATAGGTGCCCATGAAAGACAGCAGCCCTAGACTATCTCAAGGCTCAGTGATCCAGGCACTTCCTTGGGTTGGGAGAGACCAAAATCTAAATTCCTGTTCCAAACCACATATATTGGTCTTTTAAGCTTGGTGTCAGATACCCTAAGTGTGTGTCATAACTATTACTGATCAGGACACTTGGCAGTGGTTATGGCTTTCTCTCTGACCAGAATTTTTGTCCTAGACCTGAGGAGGCTTCCTGATAACATTTTCATCTGAACTAGTATACTTGCATGCTTTTTAAAACTATTTCTTTTCCCCATAGGACATGTTTTCCTCTTGAGATTTGAGTGGGTCTGTAGTAGGAAGTTTGTAGTGCTGAGCTGTATATTCTGTATAGTTAAATAGCATCAGGCTTCAGTATGTTAATCTAGATTCCTTCTGTTTCCCAAATACATTTTCAGCAGTTGCACAGTGTGAAGGAAGGTTGTGGCTATGCTACAGAACTGATTCAGAAAATTTGGGTTGACCAGATCTGTTACAGGTTTAAAGTTATTTAATTTTTAAGTGCATCAGGTTCCCCTTCCATTAAATGAGAAGATATTTTACTATCTCACAAAGAAGTGGAGGATAAATTGATTAATATTATAATCATCATTATGCTGTGTAGTACTTAGACAATAAAGTTATTGGGATCACATAATTATCTGCTAAAATACTTCTATAGGCAACAGATATATCACGTTTTAGTGTGTAGTTTTATCAGATATATTCCAGTGCTGTTCACTGGGCAGTGGGGTCCCGCAGGGCTCGGTCCTCGGGCTCGCCCTGTTCAACATCTTCATCAGTGATTTGGATGAGGGCGTGCAAAGCACCCTGTTCAAATTTGCTGATGATACCAAGATGTGGGGGGATGTGGGCACAATAGAAGGGAGCAACAGGCTACAGTCGGACCTTGACAGGTTACAAGGATGGGCGAAGGAGAACAGGATGGGGTTCAACACAGACAAGTGCAAGGTGATGCACCTGGGGAGGAACAACCGGCACCATACCTATAGGCTGGGGAACTCCCCTCTTGTCAGCACGGAGGTGGAAAAGGATCTTGGAGTCATTATTGACTCCAAGATGAACATGGCTCGGCAGTGTGGGGAGGCGGCTAGGAAGGCCAACTGTACCTTGTCGTGCATCCACAGATGCATTTCAAGCAGGACCAAGGAGGTGATCCTCCCCCTCTATGCGGCACTGGTCAGGCCGCAGCTGGAGTACTGCATCCAGTTCTGGGAGCCGCACTTTAAGAGGGATGTGGACAGCATCGAGAGGGTCCAGAGGAGGGCCACTCGCATGATCAAGGGACAGCAGGGCAGGTCCTATGAGGAAAGGTTACGGGACCTGAACCTGTTCAGCCTCCAGAAGAGAAGGCTATGGGGGGATCTTGTGGGGTCAGGGTGGCTAGGGTCTGGAACCAGCTTCCAAGTGAGGTGGTGCAGGCTCCCACCCTGGGGGTTTTTAAGAGGAGGTTAGATGACCATCTTGCTGGGGTCGTTTGACCCCCAGTACTCTTTCCTGCCATGGCAGGGTGTCGGACTAGATGATCTGCCCAGGTCCCTTCCGACCCTAGAAACTATGAAACTATGAAACTATTTTTGCTACTTCTATTTTGTTAATAATACAAAGAGATATTAAGTCATGACAAAAATAAAAGTGATTCTTTTAATTGCTGGATTGTTTAACATGAGTGGGGAAGCATTTTTTTCACAATGATTTGACTTTTAGATCTGTCTGTTTCAGCCCATTAGAAAAGTTGGATTATTAGAACTCATTAATGTACACTGCATTTTTTTGATTAGTTACTGTTTTCTTACCATTAGGTTTTACTGGTCCAAAGGATTACGTGGTCACAGCAATGCTACAATAGAATGGCATATCCCAAATACTACTGAACCAGGTATCTATCAAATACAATACTTTGGGTACCGTAAGGTAAAACCACCTTTGAAGCCAAGTGTGTTTTATCCATTCAAAGGCACATCTTCAGCATTTGAAATAATAAAATTGTAGTTGCCCTCTTGTCAAAAAAAGTCGCTTTCTTTAAAGAATGTAAACAATTCAGATGTTATGCACATCCATAATTAGAAGTTGTTCTTCCAGTGTATATAAAGTATATGTATTGGTTGTTGGCACTGTTTTGGAGTGGGGACTGTTTTAACATATTCGCTTTGAGAACAGGCTGCTTCCAACCTGAGCCATGCTGCTAGAGTTGGAATCATTGCTCACCTTTGCAGCCTTTCCACCACTTCTCCCACTACATGGGCAGACCCCTCAACCACAAAAACTTTTCCAAAATCCTCTGGCACTGTGAGTTGGGTAAAACGGCTCTGCAGGCCATAGGTTGCTGACTGCTGAGATATATATGTAATTTAGAGTTGTCCTTAGATTATTGTATAATGCATACTCCAGTTTGTGCTTGTTAATGTTTTGACTATTTTAGTCTTCAATCATCTTTGACTGATTTAATGTATTTTTGTTGTGGTTGCTCATGTCTGTCCTCTTCTCATACTAGTCGACTCTCATTCCAATAAATAATTGAGTGGTTTTCATAAAAGTCATCAATTTCAGTTGCATTTTTATTCTTTATCAAATATTTTGTCTCTCCAAAAGAGCTGTTTTTAAGGGGAGTTATTCTGGACCATCTAGTCCACTGAATAAAGTATGGAGGATTGTCAAAACTCACAGTGCATCAAAATAAATTATATAAATGATATGTGCAAGTATGCATCAAGAACAAATCTCAAAATTTATTTTCAGGGGCGATACTGAGGTAAATATTATCTAATTCTTCATTAGTGAGATTTAGAGATTATTCTTTTAAACTATTCTGTACCAAATTAAAGCCATTCTAAGCCACAAATAGATCCATAAAACTTAATTAAAGTGCTTGGGGAAAAGCCATTGTAAACTAGAAATGAATCAGAGCCATAGGTTTCCATAATTTAGTAACCCTGAACATCACTGATGTGCTACACAATGTGGGAGAAAGCTTGGAAGTTCTTAAAAATGAATAGTGAAGACTGGCAGTGCTGGCAAAGCAAAGATGACAGTCAATGACAATGTAGGATGGCTAATATAATAGGTGGAATTGGGTTATATTTGTAGGAATCTAAGGATAGCAAGAAACCTATAATTTTATATGCTTAAGATGTGAAATTTAGGGGTAGGATTTACAATCAAGTCAACAAGCATGGACATTTTAGAAAGAGCCTTTTGGATGGATTTCAGACACATTCAGTTTAAGTGCCTAGCAAAAGATCCTCAAAGAGATGTTAGCCAAATAAGATGCATGAATGGGTGGAGGTTAGCATTTTGTTTACCCTCACAATGTGCTAATGACACTTGAAACATAAGCGTCCATGAGTTAATGAGGGAAAATTGTTGCTAAGTGCTCTCCAAGCATCTCAAATTTACTCCATTTCTGGCAACTGTTAGCTCTTGGTTGTGCTACCCAAGTCATCATGCTGCAGTAATGGCAGTCTGTTCCCATGGAGATAAGGTGAACAATTTTGGGTCCTCCAGCATCCCAGGATGCACTGCTCTCAGCCCCCCACTGACACTCTGCAGACAATGTACCCTCTCTCCTGAGCTCTACTGCCAAGGGAATGGCAGTATTTGGAAGCAGGTGGGGCCCCTCCAGTGCTGGAAAGAGGGTTGCCATGGTGAGAGCATGAAGCAAGAATTGGGGCATGGAGACTGGCTTCCCTCCTCAGGGTCCTCTGCATTCTGGACATTCCTGTCCTGGGGTGGAAGATGGTGGGAGAGGGATGAACTGTGGAAAGCCCTCTATCCACCCCTGCCAAACAGATCCCAATCCCCCCAGCCTTTCACCCAGACCCAGACAAAAGCCAGAGAAAAGTTAAATTAACTGTGGTTAATTGAAATTTTCCTGTGCTACCTGAGCTGTTTCCTACAAGCACTGTTGGCTCTCCCCTGGCCAGGCAGTTTCCCTCTGCACCCCACCATTACTTCCCTAGAGTGGTGGGGGATGGGAAAGGACTGTGCTGTAGAGAGGCCAGTGTAGAATAAGTTTTGGTTTGGAACCCTCCCTTGATGAAGCTTGCGCTTGCACAGTTATGTATTCTTCAGAAAATTTGTTGGAGCTTACTGGAACCACTGAACTTTCAATCTGCTGACCTGATTGGAGTGAGTGAGCATACAAGGTAGCAAATGTCAGAGTGGCGGGAAGTTCAGGTACCTCTCCTGAGGTTAAATGACACATGTGCTTTGACAGGCAGCTGTGTGACAACATGTGTGGTAAAGATGATTGGTGGAAGGAATGATTGGCAGATGGCAACCTTGTATGATTGGAGAGATGAATGTGGGGTGACAGCATGAATTATGGTATTTAAGGTGTCTGTGAACTCCTCAGTGTGTTTGAGTGGATTTGTGTGTGGCACGCATGAGAGAGTGAGGACATGTATGCATGTGGGTCCACGTTTGAGTGGGTTTAGAATGGTTGATCTAATAGGTGTGTGAGAGGAGGGTGAAGTGAAAGTGTGGAAGGCTCCTTGGTGAAAGAGTGAAACCACTGCCACATCCTGTTGACACTTTTGAGCCCTCAGGGCTAAGTACAGACAATCAAAAGCCCAAGGCTGAATCGAGTCAGTCTTCGCAGCTTAGTCTAAGCTGCTTAGATTGAACAGATAAGCAAGTGAACAGACATTCCCTTTCGATTCCTGAAATGCAGTCACATGCCTGCAATGGCCCAGGCCAGGAGCACTAGAGTTTTGGTACTGGATTTATGACCCAGATACCTTGTTCCAGGTAGACTCAAGCCCTCAGACCAACCATGACCTCTCCATTCAATAATAGGCAAATGTTATTGATACACAGTGACAGCAGATAAGAATAATGCAAACAATTCTATATCTACCAGTCCTAGAGCTGTCACAGAGAGAAGGTACATTTGGCCAGTACGTGAGCTTCACCCTGAGGTTCTTTCTTGAATGTCAGATGTCAGCCCCCCCTGCCCATGGGGTGGGTGAGATGGGCTGGTGGTGTGCCCTCTGTCCATGGTGGCCTCAGGTTCTCTTCTTGGGGCCCCTTTGCTGCTCTGAAATCCCTCCTTTTGTATTCTTTCTCCCCCTCTGATGACCCTTCATCTCCAGGCATCGTTTGTTGGTCTCTCTGTGATCATCATACTGTCTGCATTCTGTCCTGTCAGCATATTCTTTTGTTTTAATAAACCCATTACATGCATACATCTTAATTTGGTTATTTACCAGGCCTCCTAATTTGATCTGCTTACCAAAACCAGAAGTCCTAAGTGCAGTTGGGTACTCTGACCTGGTGCCAGTGCTGCAGAGTCCCTTATCTCTGTTATGGAACAGTGTGGTACCTGTCTGCAATTTCCAAGCCTGTGTTTCTGCTGGCTTCAGACACAGTGGGCCTTGAGAGAAACTTTGTCTCACACAGGCTTTTAGAAATTAATTAACCCTTACAGCCCTAATGTCTATGAAATCTATGAACTCCTTGCCATTGCTCTGGACCATTGTTCTAATGCAATATCTACTTCACCTACAAGCCAATTCCCAAAAGCAAACCTCTAAATATAATTTTCTAGCCATCATAGAGCATGTGTCAATGCTTCGCTAGAGCAGACAGCTTGGGCCAAGGCTAACCTGCCTACCCTGAGAGGGGGAGGGGTTGTGGGGGAGGTGCAAAGCATCCTGGGATGTTGGGGGACTGTGAGAAATTGAATCAGGAGGGGATCTGGGACAGGAGTTCAATAAACCAGTTTAACTTCAATCAGTTAAGTCTGATAATACATCCATCCAGGTTTATCTTAAACTAGTTTCAGCCATTTTGAAAATGGCTGGTGTGTGCTGAACTTCTGTTGTGTTACAGAAACAGCACCATTTCATTTCAACTTCCATTTCAAGGTTTCAATGGGACAGTGTTTTGTTTAGAGTTTCATTTCATTTCGAAAGCACTGTTCTGTTTCGTCGAAACTTTTGCTGTTTTGACGCTGTTTCAACGTTTTGCCCATAGACTATAATGGAGAACCACAAAACTCCCTATAACTTTGTCAGTTCTTGCCTGATCTGGATAAAGCTTGCATACATGGTAGCCTCTTAGACCATGAAGTCTGCCAAGTTTCAAGGAGATAGGTGCAGGGGGTTCTGGGAAACTGCACCTCAGATCTTGAAAGCAAAACTCATGTCACGTGTGTGTAGTAAGCCACAGCGGCGTGAAAACTGCAGGCATGGTAGCCCCTGCTGAGGCCATGAAGCCTGCCAGGTTTCAAGGATATAGGTGCCAGGGTTTCTGGGAAGCTACACCTTGTCATTACCCAATGATTGTGTGTGCGCTTCGGCACTGCAGAATTATTTCCCGCCACATGGAGCTTTCTTTGCACGGTGCAATTCTCAGCTGCAGAGAGAAAAACCCCGGTGCAAAGGAGTTCCCGCCGCTCGCATGCAAATTTGTGTCCCATTATTGGCTGTTTCTAAATTATTCCCACGTGGCGATTGGCTTGCTAGCCATATAAGAGGCTTGAGCAGTTTCCGCCCAAGTCGGAGATCTCCGAGAATCTCAGGAGGATCCTGAGAACCCCGATTCCGAGAATTCCGGGAGAAATCCGAGAGAATTCCGGCAAGGAGTACACGATTATCTTGTGGATTTCTATGTATATCTCGGACTGAATGATGGTTTGATCAGCCATCAAGAATCTCTCCCCATCACCGGACGATCCTTGACGTACCCCTGCCCTGCACGCTCGTTGAGAGTCACAGCATGGACTCTCGTATCGGTTTAAAGAGCTCTCATCGTTTGAGTTTTCTTCTTTTCTTCTTTTCTTCTATCTACAACTGTAACCAAGCAAGTTTTCCTGCCTGCACTGCGACCATCTACGGTGTAAGTAAAATAATCTTTAATCAACCTCTACGCGTCAGTGCCTAATTCTAGTTTGCCGTGCCAACTTTCCCGGCCCACGTGCCCGGGCTGCTGGCCACAGCCCCTCGGCCCCGACACACCTCAGGTTGCTGACAAGCAAAGATCATGACATG